GAGTGCGCGCGCACAGATCGGGGAGGCGCGAGACCCGAGTCTGGGGGGGCTCGAACCTGCCCGAGGGGCCCGTCAGAAAAAAAGGCGGGGTGTGGCCTGAGACTTGACGCCTCCTCCCGCGGCAAACATACCGCGGAGGAGACTGGTCGGCCAGAGGGTTCACGTCAGGACCGTCAAAGAGCGGCGGCACGCCCGAGGCGCGGCAAACTCGGGCCTCGCGCTTCCCCGAATGAGACGGAAGGGCCACGAGTGCAACGCGCGAGGTGCACCCCATGGGTCTCATGGGTGCACCCGAAGGCCTCAAGGGCTGGGGCGGCACGGAGAACGCGCTTCGGCCCTCCCTGCCGCCCTCACCCTTTTCCTCTGCCGCCGCCGGCTCCACGCAAGGGCGACCCTCGCCAGGGGAGACCAGTCGTACGCTGCTACTCAACGGCACGCGCCCCAACTCCGAGGAGAGGAGCGCCCCCCTTCCGCGCGGCCGCCTCAGGACCGGGCCACGCTCAGCGCTCAGCGCAGGAGGCTGCTGCACTTCGGCGCGGGGGCGCCCGTGTCGCAGAACTGGCAGTCCTGGTTCTTCCCGTCGGCATTGCAGCCGACCCCGCTGCAGCCCGGGCTCCACAGGCACTGCTCGCTGGGGCCTCCGCACGAGCTGCTGCCCCCGGGGCACGGGCACTGGGGGACGTTGCTGCCGCCGCAGAAGCGGCAGGTGGTGCCCGAGATGCAGCCGGCTCCTCCTGCCGAGCACGCCGGGTCCTGGTAGCAGTACTGGAAGGCGTCGTTGCACGTCTTGGCCGGCGTGGTGGTGCAGGTGACGCCGGCCGCGTCGTCAGAGTGCGCCTTCACCTCCGCGAGCTTCTGGGCCGCAGCGGACTGCAGCAGCGCCGCCTCCTCGCCGCCCTCGGCGCACTGGCCTTCCGCGCACACCTCCTCGGCGGCGAGCGCGGAGGCGAGGAGGGCCAGGGCCAGGACGGGGAAGCGAGCCATGCGGACTCGGGGCCTGCGTCGAGGGGCTGGCGTATCGCTGGCCACGGCGCTTGCCGACCCGGCTTGAGCCACGCGCACGCCGGGGAGAACACATCCAGCGACTTGCTTAAATGAGCCAGGTGAGAACCCCAGAGTGTGCAAGCACGTTGCGAGAAGGCGAGGGCCCCTACATAAGCACTGGTTAGGGAAAAGGCCGTGGGAAATCCTCTCTGGCGTTCTGCTGACTTGGCCCTCCTGTAGGTCCAATGTGGGCACTCAGGCGGCCTCTTGGAGCCTTCTTGGAGCCCTCTGAGGGGCCTCTTGAGAGGGCTGGGCGCCTCCTGGGGGAGCCCCAGGGGGCTTTAGGGGGACCGTCTTGGGGCCCTCTTGGACTCTTGGGCCGTCTGGGGCTCCTCTCGGAGGCCGTCGTCGACCCTCTTGGAACTATCGCGGGGCAGTCCTCGCTCTCCTCGGGGCAATCCTGGGGCTCGCTGGAAGAATCTCTGGGGCACCGAGGCCATCTTGGAGCCACAGTTCGCCAACAAGTGGGAACTCCAGAGAGTCGTGCGAGACATGGAACCGTCCTTGGGTTTGTTGTTACCGATTGGGCCCCTCCGAGGTCCTCCATGGGCTCTCTGGTGGCCTCTTGGGACCGTTTTGGGACCCCTCTGTAGCGAAGGGAGCATCCCGGGGAAGCCCGGGGGGGGCTCTGGGGACCGTCTTGGGGCCCTCTTGGTCCGTCTGCCAGAGAGCACCCTCGGCTCTCGTGGGGCTCTCGCGGGGCAGTGCTGGGCCATCCTGGACCGATATTGGGGCTCTCTTGGGGACACGTTGGGGCTCGCAGGCCATCTTGGAGCTGCATTTCGCCAACGAGTGAGAACACCCGAAACTCATGCAGTGCACGTTCAAACGTTGGGCGTTCGACCAATTCGAGGGCTGATTACTTGATGTTGAAAGATGCGCCATGCATGTCTACAGAACGACGGAGCCCTGGTGGCTTTTGACTGATTCGGCCCCTCCGGCCCGAGGGCCTTCAGAGCAGGGCCCAGGGCGACTGCCCGCCCCTCGCACGCAGGCACCGGGCCGACCCCCGCCGTGGCGCCGGACAGCGCGCGACCCGCTCAATCTTGAAGGAGCTCCGCTCTGAGGGGCCCCCAGACTGTCGACCCCCATCGTTCGTCGCGCGCCCACGGCGCTGCCAGAAGTGCCCCGGGGGCCGAGAGCGGACGGCGAGCGCGGCTGGGGAGGGCGCAGCACCTGTTTTGCCACAACGAGACAACCCTCGGGCAGAGTCGCCGGGCAGAGTCTGAGTGCGCGCGCACAGATCGGGGAGGCGCGAGACCCGAGTCTGGGGGGGCTCGAACCTGCCCGAGGGGCCCGTCAGAAAAAAAGGCGGGGTGTGGCCTGAGACTTGACGCCTCCTCCCGCGGCAAACATACCGCGGAGGAGACTGGTCGGCCAGAGGGTTCACGCCAGGACCGTCAAAGAGCGGCGGCACGCCCGAGGCGCGGCAAACTCGGGCCTCGCGCTTCCCCGAATGAGACGGAAGGGCCACGAGTGCAACGCGCGAGGTGCACCCCATGGGTCTCATGGGTGCACCCGAAGGCCTCAAGGGCTGGGGCGGCACGGAGAACGCGCTTCGGCCCTCCCTGCCGCCCTCACCCTTTTCCTCTGCCGCCGCCGGCTCCACGCAAGGGCGACCCTCGCCAGGGGAGACCAGTCGTACGCTGCTGCTCAACGGCACGCGCCCCAACTCCGAGGAGAGGAGCGCCCCCCTTCCGCGCGGCCGCCTCAGGACCGGGCCACGCTCAGCGCTCAGCGCAGGAGGCTGCTGCACTTCGGCGCGGGGGCGCCCGTGTCGCAGAACTGGCAGTCCTGGTTCTTCCCGTCGGCATTGCAGCCGACCCCGCTGCAGCCCGGGCTCCACAGGCACTGCTCGCTGGGGCCTCCGCACGAGCTGCTGCCCCCGGGGCACGGGCACTGGGGGACGTTGCTGCCGCCGCAGAAGCGGCAGGTGGTGCCCGAGATGCAGCCGGCTCCTCCTGCCGAGCACGCCGGGTCCTGGTAGCAGTACTGGAAGGCGTCGTTGCACGTCTTGGCCGGCGTGGTGGTGCAGGTGACGCCGGCCGCGTCGTCAGAGTGCGCCTTCACCTCCGCGAGCTTCTGGGCCGCAGCGGACTGCAGCAGCGCCGCCTCCTCGCCGCCCTCGGCGCACTGGCCTTCCGCGCACACCTCCTCGGCGGCGAGCGCGGAGGCGAGGAGGGCCAGGGCCAGGACGGGGAAGCGAGCCATGCGGACTTGGGGCCTGCGTCGAGGGGCTGGAATATCGCTGGCCACGGCGCCTGCCGACCCGGCTTGAGCCGCGCGCACGCCGGGGAGAACACATCCAGTGACTTGCTTAAATGAGCCAGGTGAGAACCCCAGAGTGTGCAAGCACGTTGCGAGAAGGCGAGGGCCCCTACATGCAAGCACTGTCTGGGGAAAAGGCCGTGGGAAATCCTCTCTGGCGTTCTGCTGACCTGGCCCTCAGGGAGGTCCGATGTGGGCACTCAGGAGGCCTCTCGGAGCTTTCTTGGAGCCCTCTGAGGGGCCTCTTGAGAGGGCTGGGCGCCTCCTGGGGGAGCCCCAGGGGGCTTTAGGGGGACCGTCTTGGTGGGGCCCTCATGGGCCGTCTGGGGCTCCTCTCGGAGGCCTTCGTCGGCCCTCTTGGAACTATCGCGGGGCAGTCCTCGCTCTCCTCGGGGCAATCCTGGGGCTCGCTGGAAGCATCTGTGGGGCACCGAGGCCATCTTGGAGCCACAGTTCGCCAACAAGTGGGAACTCCAGAGAACCGTGCGAGAGATGGAACCGTCCTTGGTTTTTTGTTTTACCGATTGGGCCCCTCCGAGGTCCTCTAATTATGGGCTCCCTGGTGGCCTCTTGGGACCGTTTTGGGACCCCTCTGTAGCGAAGGGAGCATCCCGGGGAAGCCCGGGGGGGGCTCTGGGGACCGTCTTGAGGCCCTCTTGGTCCGTCTGCCAGAGAGCGTCGTCGGCTCTCGTGGGGCTCTCGCGGGGCAGTGCTGGGCCATCCTGGACCGACATTGGGGCTCTCTGGGGGACACGTTGGGGCTCGCGGGCCATCTTGGAGCTGCAATTCGCCAGCGAGTGAGAACGCCCGAAACTCATGCAGTGCACGTTCAAACGTTGGGCTTTCGACCAATGCGATGGCTGATTACTTGATGTTGAAAGATGCGCCATGCATGTTTACAGAACGACGGAGCCCTGGTGGCTTTTGACTGATTCGGCCCCTCCGGCCCGAGGGCCTTCAGAGCAGGGCAGGGCACTGGGCCGACCCCCGCCGTGGCGCGCGACCCGCTCCATCTTGAAGGAGCTCCGCTCTGAGGGGCCCCCAGACTGTCGACCCCCATCGTTCGTCGCGCGCCCGCGGCGCTGCCAGAAGTGCCCCGGGGGCCGAGAGCGGACGGCAAACGCGACTGGGGAGGGCGCAGCACCTGTTTTGCCACAACGAGACAACCAGCGGGCAGAGCCTGAGTGCGCGCGCACAGATCGGGGAGGCGCGAGACCCGAGTCTGGGGGGCTCGAACCTGCCCGAGGGGCCCGTCAGAAAAAAAGGCGGGGTGTAGTCTGAGATTTGACGCCTCCTCCCGCGGCAAACATACCGCGGAGGAGACTGGTCGGCCAGAGGGTTCACGCCAGGACCGTCAAAGAGCGGCGGCACGCCCGAGGCGCGGCAAACTCGGGCCTCGCGCTTCCCCGAATGAGACGGAAGGGCCACGAGTGCAACGCGCGAGGTGCACCCCATGGGTCTCATGGGTGCACCCGAAGGCCTCAAGGGCTGGGGCGGCACGGAGAACGCGCTTCGGCCCTCCCTGCCGCCCTCACCCTTTTCCTCTGCCGCCGCCGGCTCCACGCAAGGGCGACCCTCGCCAGGGGAGACCAGTCGTACGCTGCTGCTCAACGGCACGCGCCCCAACTCCGAGGAGAGGAGCGCCCCCCTTCCGCGCGGCCGCCTCAGGACCGGGCCACGCTCAGCGCTCAGCGCAGGAGGCTGCTGCACTTCGGCGCGGGGGCGCCCGTGTCGCAGAACTGGCAGTCCTGGTTCTTCCCGTCGGCATTGCAGCCGACCCCGCTGCAGCCCGGGCTCCACAGGCACTGCTCGCTGGGGCCTCCGCACGAGCTGCTGCCCCCGGGGCACGGGCACTGGGGGACGTTGCTGCCGCCGCAGAAGCGGCAGGTGGTGCCCGAGATGCAGCCGGCTCCTCCTGCCGAGCACGCCGGGTCCTGGTAGCAGTACTGGAAGGCGTCGTTGCACGTCTTGGCCGGCGTGGTGGTGCAGGTGACGCCGGCCGCGTCGTCAGAGTGCGCCTTCACTTCCGCGAGCTTCTGGGCCGCAGCGGACTGCAGCAGCGCCGCCTCCTCGCCGCCCTCGGCGCACTGGCCTTCCGCGCACACCTGCTCGGCGGCGAGCGCGGAGGCGAGGAGGGCCAGGGCCAGGACGGGGAAGCGAGCCATGCGGACTTGGGGCCTGCGTCGAGGGGCTGGAGTATCGCTGGCCACAGCGCTTGCCGACCCGGCTTGAGCCACGCGCACGCCGGGGAGAACACATCCAGTGACTTGCTTAAATGAGCCAGGTGAGAACCCCGGAGTGTGCAAGCACGTTGCGAGAAGGCGAGAGCCCCTACATGCAAGCACTGTCTGGGGAAAAGGCCGTGGGAAATCCTCTCTGGCGTTCTGCTGACTTGGCCCTCCTGGAGGTCCGATGTGGGCACTCAGGCGGCCTCCTGGAGCTTTCTTAGAGCCCTCTGAGGGGCCTCTTGAGAGGGCTGGGCGCCTCCTGGGGGAGCCCCAGGGGGCTTTAGGGGGACCGTCTTGGGGCCCTCTTGGACTCTTGGGCCGTCTGGGGCTCCTCTCGGAGGCCGTCGTCGACCCTCTTGGAACTATCGCGGGGCAGTCCTCGCTCTCCTCGGGGCAATCCTGGGGCTCGCTGGAAGAATCTCTGGGGCACCGAGGCCATCTTGGAGCCACATTTCGCCAACAAGTGGAAACTCCAGAGAATCGTGCGAGACATGGAACCGTCCTTGGGTTTGTTGTTACCGATTGGGCCCCTCCGAAGTCCTCCATGGGCTCTCTGGTGGCCTCTTGGGACCGTTTTGGGACCCCTCTGTAGCGAAGGGAGCATCCCGGGGAAGCCCGGGGGGGGCTCTGGGGACCGTCTTGGGGCCCTCTTGGTCCGTCTGCCAGAGAGCACCCTCGGCTCTCGTGGGGCTCTCGCGGGGCAGTGCTGGGCCATCCTGGACCGACATTGGGGCTCTCTGGGGGACACGTTGGGGCTCGCGGGCCATCTTGGAGCTGCAATTCGCCAGCGAGTGAGAACGCCCGAAACTCATGCAGTGCACGTTCAAACGTTGGGCTTTCGACCAATGCGATGGCTGATTACTTGATGTTGAAAGATGCGCCATGCATGTTTACAGAACGACGGAGCCCTGGTGGCTTTTGACTGATTCGGCCCCTCCGGCCCGAGGGCCTTCAGAGCAGGGCAGGGCACTGGGCCGACCCCCGCCGTGGCGCGCGACCCGCTCCATCTTGAAGGAGCTCCGCTCTGAGGGGCCCCCAGACTGTCGACCCCCATCGTTCGTCGCGCGCCCGCGGCGCTGCCAGAAGTGCCCCGGGGGCCGAGAGCGGACGGCGAACGCGACTGGGGAGGGCGCAGCACCTGTTTTGCCACAACGAGACAACCAGCGGGCAGAGCCTGAGTGCGCGCGCACAGATCGGGGAGGCGCGAGACCCGAGTCTGGGGGGCGCTCGAACCTGCCCGAGGGGCCCGTCAGAAAAAAAGGCGGGGTGTGGCCTGAGACTTGACGCCTCCTCCCGCGGCAAACATACCGCGGAGGAGACTGGTCGGTCAGAGAGCTCACGCCAGGACCGTCAAAGAGCGGCGGCACGCCCGAGGCGCGGCAAACTCGAGCCTCGCGCTTCCCCGAATGAGACGGAAGGGCCACGAGTGCAACGCGCGAGGTGCACCCCATGGGTCTCATGGGTGCACCCGACCCGAGGGCCTCAAGGGCTGGGGCGGCCTGGAGAACGCGCTTCGGCCCTCCCTGCCGCCCTCACCCTTTTCCTCTGCCGCCGCCGGCTCCACGCAAGGGCGACCCTCGCCAGGGGAGGCCAGTCGTACGCTGCTGCTCAACGGCACGCGCCCCAACCCATCACGAAGACGGCGGCAGTTGCGCAGTTGCGGCAGCAGGAATCTCCCAGCAGGCGCGGCGGCAGAAGGTGGGCAGTTGGCAGCGCCCAGGGGGAGGCCGAGGGAGAGGAAGCGACGAGGCAGCGCAGAGGGAACGAGGCAGACGCGGCAACGCAGCGGAAGAGGGGAGGCAGGGAGGAGGAAAGGAGCGGGAGGGGGCGGGGGCAGGCGGGCAGGGAGAGGAGGGGGCGGCAGGGGGCGGAACCGGAGCGAGGAGCAGCAGCGGCATGGCGGATTGCACTCTCAAAGACGAGGGTCCAACCGAGGGGGAGGGAGACGTGGGGAGCAGAGGGCCCCCCCTGGGCGACGAGTGCTCTGGAGGAGCACCACCTGGGCGCCGCCGGCCCCGCACCAGGAGGTCACCACGGTCACCACGGCGAGGGAACCCCCGTGGCGCACCGCCGACGCTGACCTCCCCCCCCCTTCCGCGCGGCCGCCTCAGGACCGGGCCACGCTCAGCGCTCAGCGCAGGAGGCTGCTGCACTTCGGCGCGGGGGCGCCCGTGTCGCAGAACTGGCAGTCCTGGTTCTTCCCGTCGGCATTGCAGCCGACCCCGCTGCAGCCCGGGCTCCACAGGCACTGCTCGCTGGGGCCTCCGCACGAGCTGCTGCCCCCGGGGCACGGGCACTGGGGGACGTTGCTGCCGCCGCAGAAGCGGCAGGTGGTGCCCGAGATGCAGCCGGCTCCTCCTGCAGAGCACGCCGGGTCCTGGTAGCAGTACTGGAAGGCGTCGTTGCACGTCTTGGCCGGCGTGGTGGTGCAGGTGACGCCGGCCGCGTCGTCAGAGTGCGCCTTCACCTCCGCGAGCTTCTGGGCCGCAGCGGACTGCAGCAGCGCCGCCTCCTCGCCGCCCTCGGCGCACTGGCCTTCCGCACACACCTCCTCGGCGGCGAGCGCGGAGGCGAGGAGGGCCAGGGCCAGGACGGGGAAGCGAGCCATGCGGACTTGGGGCCTGCGTCGAGGGGCTGGAGTATCGCTGGCCACGGCGCTTGCAGACCCGGCTTGAGCCGCGCGCGCGCTGGAGTGCTGGAGCCATGTGACAGACTGCCTTCGTCGTCCGCTTTCCACCGTCCGCCGTCCACGCATGGCCAGAAGTGCCTGGGAGACGAGAGCGGACGGCGAGCGCCACTCGGGGGGACTGATATCGCGACCAGATCGCAAGGATGCGCGGTGAGGATGCAAGACCCTCGGAGGTCCACCTCGAAGCGCAAGTTGGAGGCCCATGGCCCGTGGCCGACAGGCGCAGATGCAATGGTACCCTTTGAAGGTCACTCGTCCTTGTGATGCGGCTTGACTGCATCATGCGTGTTTGATTGTATTGACTGGGATGAGCCTCGGTCGCAACCAGTCCCTCAGGCACACCACAATAGTTATCGGACAGAGTGCGCCGCGTAGGGCAGAATAGCCACGAGCGCTACGCGCAACAGGCAACCCAGGGTGAGAGCCGCACAGATGACGCAAACAGTTCTTGCACTTCGGGGCTCTTACCTGCCTTCTAAGGTAGCTGAGCTCTGGTGCCGATCTGGCCAGCTCTTCGCCGCCCGTCGCCGCCTGTCGCCCCAGTCGCCGCTGGACTGCTTTGCTTTGCAATCGCATTGCATTGCATTGCATTGCATTGCATTGCTTTGCTTTGCATTGCTTTGTTTTGATGTGCATTGCGTTGCATTGCTTTGCAGTGTGCTGCATCGCATCACCCTGTTTCGCATTGATTTGCATTGATGTGCATTGCTTTGTACTGCTTTGCATGACTATGCAAGGTGCTGCATTGCGTTCCATTGTTTTGACGTGTTGTTGTTTTGCGTTGCGATGCGTTGCATTGGTTTGCATCGCATTACATAACGTTGCATGAATTTGCATTGCTTTGCGTTGTTTTGTATCGGCCTTGTGTTGCATTGCTTTGCATTGGAATCGCGTTGCAATCGAATTGCAATCGCATTGCAATCGCAACACATTGCAGTACATTGCATTGAAACCGTATTGCAATCGCATTGCTATGCATTGCGTTACATTGATTCACATTGTTGTGCATTGCCTTGCGCTGTTTCGCATTGCATGGTTCTGCAGTGCGTTGCCTTACGCTGCATTGCGTTTCTCTGGTGTGCATTAAGTCGACTTCTCTTGCAACACATCGATTACACCACATGGATTGCACCACCGAGGATGCACCACATTGATTGCGCCACCCAGATGGCACCTCATCGATTGTGAGAAACCGCTGCTCAAAGCCCACGCTGGCTGACAGGATGTGCATATGTATATACACACACGCTTGAACCACGCAGCGAGCGCGCGCAGGTTCTACTAGACTCCGAAGTCGTTGTCCATAACGAGAACACGGCGACACCAACGCCAACAGGGCGAGGAGATGCGAGGAGCAAGGGGGGTCTCCCTGGTGGTGTGGTCCCCCCTCTCGCACGAGGCATCACCAGCCTCCAGCTCGGGGAGGCATCGTGGACCTCCTCGCTGGAGGTGCCCCCCCCCCTGGTGGTTGTGGTGTCGCTTCTCCTCCCTCCCACATAAGCATTACGTGGAGCCCTTTGACGTGGACCCCCATTGGCCCATCTCTGCCGTGGAAATTTGGGGCCCCCTGGGGAGCGGCTCCCGGTTCTGGGGGGCGGGCGCGGGGCCTGCTCAGAGCGCCGCGCGACGGCTCGGCCGAGGAGGGCCCCGGGGGCTCCCGGATTATACTCGAAGACGACCCGCGAAGACGGCCAAAGATCGGGGATCCTCTGACCCGGATCAACCCAAACCCGGGTCAGTCAGGCCTTGCGGGCTCATGCACCCAAGCCCGGGTCAATGAAGCCTTGGCTCTGCAAAAACCTGCAAGATCCGGCGCTCTGGCTGACCCCCGTCTGTCTCAAGGCTCCCGAGAGGAGAGCCCAAAGAAAACCCCAGCCTGACCCAAGCCAACAAAAAACCGATGGAACTCCGCAGGCTGGGAGCAGGATTCCTGGAACTCCCCACTTGTAGATCGACGCTGGCTCCAAGAGGGCAGAGGAGATGCCGATGAGCGGATACGCAGGGCCCTGAAGGGTCCTCGTGGGCTGTTTCCAGGCTATCTGGGAGGCCCCTGGGGCCGTCGTGGGAGAAGTGAGAAAGCTAAAATCCGCCGACCCTGTCGGCGTGTGGAAGACGCATCCCGGTGTCGTCGTCTTGCGTGGATCACCGTCGTTGTCGTCGTCGTCGTCGTCGTCGTCGTCGTCGTCGTCGTCGTCGTCGTCGTCGTCGTCGTCGTCGTCGTCATCGTCGTCGCCCGAAATAAAAGGAA